TCCAAGGAGAGAACATTCCACCTACATGGATGAAGGATGCAATGACTCCTGCAGGGACTGCCACCAACCCAGCAGGACGGGGCCTAACATCTGCAGAGAGAAAAGCTGCAAACAGGGCCCCACAGGTGAGACAGCCATCAGGGAGCATGAGTGGCGTGGGTGGGAGGCATCTTTGATAACTGATGTTTTTATCCATCGATCTCCTTTCTGAATTGGGGCTATTCACACAGAGGAGGACTTTCCCTGCCAAGGCCCCCAGCCTTGGTCTTGCTGACATCACACCCCAACAGCCACTGGGGCCCAGGTACATGCAGAGAGCAGGATGCAGAGTCGGACATTTCCAGCTTTAATTCTCCTCCACCACCATGAGCCCTTGAGCAAGTAACCCAGCGTCCCAGCCTCTGTACCCTCCCTACTAAAACCAGTGTGATAACATTGAACTCCTCCGGGTTCAATGAAACGACGTTAGCTCTCATCTCCTGAGGGCTTACTATATGCCAAGCACTTTGGGGAGCACTTCCACGTACTTTAATTCACTAAATACTCCAAATGATTGTATAAGGGGTTGTTTTCATGTCTCCCATTTTACGCTTGAGAAAACAGAGACCCAGAGATGACGTTCAGGAGCTTGCCCAGGGTTGCATGGCTAGGCAGGCACTACAGTGTGGTTATGTATACTGAGGATTCTGTCGGGTGCCTAGTGCATGCAGGTGCTCCATAACCACGGCCCTCTTCCCCTTCATAAAACAAGACGTTACTTCTACCCTACACTGTGGAGTTAATGATTCTTGCCAGTCCGCCACTTTTGAGAAGGGGAACGATTTGTTTCCCACTTTAAATAGCTCCCTGAGTGCAGTGAGCCTCCTCCTGAATCCTGATCCTTCGTAGATAAAGATACCCATCTCCCAGCCAAGCATTTTGGGAAATTCGCTGGGCTCCCCGCCCCGACTGTGATAACAGCATGGGTAAGGCTACAACCAGAGAACCGTTATGTGCGGTCACTAGATGGTTCTTCTAACTTCATAAATATTCTACCGTGCTTTTCACCTCCCTTAAGAGCTCTTCCATTATTGCAGTTGGCTGGCCAGGAGGCACCAAAATGTTCCACTGGGCTCTTAGGGGACACATCAGAAAATATTTTTTTTAGCTCAACTGCCACAGTCTATATTTCTCTTGCTTTATCCTAATAACCTGTGATGCATTCTTAGGTACGGTGAGTATTCCGACAGATGAAACAAAATGTAGCTGGGTCATTTTACCAACGGAATTTTCAGTCCTGTTTAACAGAAACTATCTATACAGCTTCCTCCCCATTCCTGGACATTTTTGGAAATGGCATGTTTTAAAACTAGCCTCAAGACCATTTTAATGACTGTGGACTTTTCATGGACAAGTTGACTGTTTTAGGAGATAACAGGCCTGCCAGGATTCATGCTCTCTGGAGAAAAAAATAAAAACGTCCCTGAGTCCCAGTCACAGAGAGCATTTCCTGGCTCAGCCCCTGGTCACTCTGGCTGATCCAAGCTCTCCCAGTTGTCTTTCCCGCTTGTGTTTTCAAGACAAAGTCTCCTCAGACTGGTGGGAACTTGGCTGCTTTGAGCTACGGTACCTTGTACGGCACCGTCTACCAGTCATTGGACGGATCTTTCTCTGCTACCCCTTTGCTTCAGCTTTTCAGTACAGCGAGTCACAGCTAACATGAGAGCTGGGCTCCAAGGACAGCACAAAAGGCAAACATTGTGTTCAAATGGCCCTCGAGAAGCCCTTGGGGAGGCACCATGGTGGAGCTCCACACAACATCTCTCATAAGTCCAGTCTTGCCAAGGGTGCTCCTGCACCAAGACCAAGGCCACAGCATGGACCCAAGGCAGGGATGTCAGAACTAAGGTGGGCTGAGATAATAGCTGATGCAGAGCTCCAGTGGGAATACACTGTCGCTGAGTGGAGTAGAGGACCACATGACCCATACCATTCTCTCATTCTCTCCACCCTCCTCCCCACTCCCGTGCTCCAGTTCCTCATCACTCACTATGACCACCTCCATCCCCACAGACCCTGCGGATCTTCATGGGAATCCAGCTCCCCGTACTTCCATTGCTCTGCTCCCATTTGCTCTCTGCCCAGATGCCTGGACCTTCCTTATTCCCCTTAATTCCTCTGCTGAGAAGCTGCTCCATGGCCCTGTAATGACCCTCCCACCTCTCTTAAGCACTGAGCTGGAGGACGCCACCTCCTACCCATGCCGTACACATTGGGAGAGGGGCCTGGTGCCCAGAACTCCCCTGGCTTGAACAATGAAGGAATGTGCATCCCAGCCCAGGCAGGAATGAACCAAGGGAACTAAATAATAACCAAAGCAGCTTACTTCCAGTTCAAGCCACTGAGCCTTGGCCAGTCAAATCCAGATCTTGGCTCCCACTACCAGTTTACTGATCACATGTACCTTCCTCCACTATGTGTCTGGTGCTATGTGAAGGTCTGGGAAATCCAATGTGATGGAAACCACAGGTTTGGTTTTGTATCTCTATCAATCTAATTACCAAGAAACATTTCTCTGGTCGCACCTCTGAGGACAGCTATGGGCCTAAGGGTATAAGAAAGGTTTAATGGGGGATGCAGCCAAGAGGCTATTTTGAGAGACCAAGGGGCCTCCTTAGAAATAAGTTATCCTAAGGAGAGACTCAGAGTGTTGCTCCAAGAACACTGCTTTCTGAGATTCAGAAAGTCTCTGCTGCCTGTCTCTCTAGGTCTCCTGAGTTCTAGAAAGACGGAATTGCAAGAAAGGCTAAAATAGGCCCCAAAACGAAAGGGCATCAGAAAAGAGACAGAGTGACCCCATTCCTTATGCAGGAGGGGTAGACAGCATTATTGTCACAATTTGCCATCCTCTCTACACTTGTGCCAGGGCTGTGTGCCTTTTCAGTTCCTCTTGCTAAAGGGCTAGAGCATATTTTCCTGTCCCTTGACTTTGGGTTTGCCCATGGACTTGTTGTGACCAATAGAACAAGGCTGAAGTAAGAATGCATAGTTCTGAGCCTAGGCCTGCAGAGATGTTGCGTGTCTCTCCCTTCTCTCTTGCACAATTACCGTGCCAGGAGGAAAGTGTGCCCAGGCCAGCCTATTGGTTGCAGCAGGACAATGAAAGACAGAAGAAGCAGAGATGAACTGGGTCACCCACACCTGAGATCAACCCACCACCTGCTGAACCCCAGATGCATGAGCAAGTCAACCAAGATCCAGTTGAAGCCAGCCTGGACTGGCCAACATGCAGCTGACATGCAGACCCTTGAGAATAAGTGACTTCTATTTTTAACCATGGAGTTTTGAAGTGGTTTGTCATGCAGCACATTTGGTGGCTACCGCTAGCTGATACATATGAGGGTCTGGGTCCTGACCACCGCACAAGTTCTCACATCACTGATTACTGGGCCCACAGAGCAGAACTGTTTCCCAACAATACTCTTAAGAGGCAAAGTTGTGGAAGTGGAGTCAGCTATAGGCATAAAGTACCTCACTGATCACAAGCTGTGGGTTTCACATCTTAATATATGAAAAGCTCAATTCAACAGAGTTAGATTTGACCATCCACTACTGGGCAGCAAAAACATCAGGACTTTCCCAACCCAATATTTAACTTTGGAACAAGCGGGCATTTTCCCACCACATGAACTTATCTATAATCCAAAATAAACGGCCAACATTTACAGTCTGCCTCAAGACAAAACAAATCCATATCTTTTCTTTCAAGTTACTTTTTCCATAAAACACTTTTTTTGGAAGACCTATTTATAAACTAAAAGTAATGACCTGATCATGTACAAACCTTCTTCAGATTTGGTGTCTTCAGTAGCTCCAGGAGGTCCTTCTTACCAATGATAGAAGTCCCCCACATCCACTTCATCAGTCTGAAGTGCTTTTCTAAGCTTGGAAAAACATCTGGAACTTTAAGCTACCACTCTTGTTCTAGGTAAAAGTAATGCTAATTAATGTTTAAGTGGTTTGGAGGAATATTTGTGTGTGGGTCCTGGGGGATTACATCACTTTTCACCCAATAAATGCAAACAAAAGAAAAAGAATCTTAGTATTACTTCCCTTTGATGAATAATACATTCATCATCATAAGTGTTTTAGGGTAGTCATTCATGAGGGGGTATTTCATTCCATGCAAACTTAACTTTCACAAGTACAAATAAAAGACAGAGTATGGCACTTTAGAGAATAACTATCAAAAGGGATGACTATTTTTGAGAAATGGTAATAAATCATATGGAAGGGCTTCCTGGCCCTGAGGCTCAAACGATCTTTCAGAAGGAACTGTCTGGAAAGGAAACCGTTCTTCGAGATGTGGCTAAGTGAGTGATCCAGGGCCAGCGCCCGCATCCCCAAAAGAAGCCTGGAACACAAGGTTGACAAAGGGGAAATGGGAGGCCTCCGTGTGCTGGGGTTCACCGTCAGCCTGGGGGATTCTTGTACTGGGGGAGGGAACCTCGAAACAATAGAGCTTGTCTGCTCACTTGGATCCGGACAGCCTTCCCCTGCTTTGTCCCCTCCTGCCACGGGACAATTACTTGTTGTTAAAGCAGATGCACTGCTAGGTGTGGGGAAAAAATAAAAAGAACCTTTGTATAATGATCAGTTCGATCATGGTGAATTGTCCCAAACAGTTAAATATTGGCAACTTCATATGGTTCAACTTAATACAGTGAGGAAACATAAAATACACAAACACAAATATTCACAGAAATTAGAAATATAGACTAAATTGTGAGGTGTGTGAGGCTGCAAACAAAAACCAAATTATCCCCCCCCCAAATAATAGCTGCTGTTAAAATACTGTATAATAAACATTTTTTAAAACCACAAAATATCATTGTAACCAACTTTATTTACCCTCTCCGTTGGAGAAATCTGCACATTCAGACTTTGAGCTTGGAGTCGAGACAAAGGAACTTTCCAGAACCATGTTCCAGAACCGTGTTGAGAAAGGATCGCTGACTCACCTGGACAGCAACAGTTGACCCTGAAGCTGCAGGTCCGCAGCGCAGTCCTCGGAACGGCAATTCCTTTCAAAAACAGTCTGTGAAAGACACAACAGGAGGGTTGGCACAGGACTTAATGACAAATGAGTGAAGAGCAGCCAAATATTTTCTTCCAAATCAGCAGGAACCCTTCCCTGAGCCCGTCAAGCCCCTGACCCCCCCAGAAGCCCACTCCCTGGCTTGGCTGGGGGGTCCTTCGAAGGCTCCGAGGAAACCCTGGTCCCACCTGCAGAGCACACCCCTCACTTGGCTTATTTTTCATCCCATTCAAGTGCTTCTTCGAGTAGATTTTTCAAGAAGGGCACAGGGTAGATGCCCTTTCCATCTTTGAGAATATCTTTCAATGCCCTCAGATGTAAGTGAATAAGAATCAGTGGAGTAAAGAATTCTTAAGATTATTGCCTGGTCACTCCCCTCTGCTTGCTGCCTTGGGGAGGCAGACAATCTATATTTGAGGTACATTCTGCCTGAGCCATGGGGTCGTATTCTAATTTTTAGCTCCAAAGGGAAAAGTCAGCGGCAATTAGACTATCACACTGAGGGCACCAGAGAGAGCCAAAGGGACCCTTTCCCTTCAGTAGCGAGCACAGTGCTCTTTTTCTAACTAACACTGGGCCTCGAGGCCCTGGCTGGGCAGCTCAGTTGATCAGAGCATCATCTGATGCACCGAGGTTTCGGGTTGATCCCCGCTCAGAGCACAGGCGGACGCATAAATAAGTGGAAAAACAAGTTAATGTCTCTCCCTCTCTCTCTTTCTCTCTCCTTCCCTCCCTCTCTTCCTCCCTTTCTCTATCTAAAGTCAATCAATCAATCAATCAATCAATCAATCAAAAGATGGGGCTTAGCTGGCCAAAGCCCTGCCCAGTGGTGGAGCCTACAGCTCTTTGTGCAGAACCACTGTCTTTCCAGAGGGCTCATGGAGGGGCCTGAGCTGCGCCTATCTGTGGGGGTCGGCTGGGAAAAGCAGCCTTTTGGGAGGAGTTGCAGCTGTCTCTATGGCACACGGCGGGCTTGTCTCCCCGTCCCTCGGTCTGGTGTCCCCCTCTTTGATGTCTCCGATCTAGGGCCCCTGGGCTCCCTGTGTTTCCAACTGACAGAGGCTCTTCGCTACCATTAGTTAGCTCTGAGGGTTTCAGTGGGATTCTGAAGAGGAAGCCTGTTGCCATGTTTTAGTTGTAATTGATGCACTATTAAACTTCTTCATTGTCACTCCCTCCGCCCCCAAACACAGTTCCAGGGGATCGATGCCATCCCACGGGTAAGTCCAGGTGGCATCTCCGAGCGCCAACGTGGACTCCAGCAAACTCCCTGGCCAATGGGCGGTCTAGACCCGGCCAGATGGAGCAATGCTGCCTATGAAAATTCGTACTCCTGTGTCATATTTACAAAAGAATAAAGTGTCCCGGCCAACATTCCCTGCTTTGATTGCGGGGGAGAACTCACAGAAGCCTTGGGCAAACAGAGAAAATCCCCGTGTGCTTTTGGACACTGCTGGGGGCAAGGAGAACGCCAACTTTCCAGGAGATTTCAGTTTAAGACGTTGGTGCTTTCTCTGCCCCCTTGGCCAAGGAGAAAACAGGAGGAGGTGGGTGTGAAGATGCCACAAATATCTCGGGCAAGCGAAGGCGGCTTTTTGAGGTTAGGTAAAAGTAGCTTTCCCACCACGCTAGTCAAACGGGAGTCCGAAGGTCCCCCCACAGACATGCCTTCTTGACCCTCCATTTGTATCCACAACTTTACTTTTTTTTGTTCAAGAGCATCTCTGCACCCAGACGGTGAAGCCTCGGGCCCCACAAAACCCCACTCTGCCCCTGGTGACAGGTGAGAGAGACAGTCTGACTTCCTCACCGGGCGCATGGGCCTCGGAGCAGCCATTTCTCCGACCCAAACCTGCACTGGAAAAAAAGTCTTCCCTTCTGATCTAATAGAAAGTGGGATTCTTCACCTATTCCAGCTGGCAGGGCCAGAGGAGGATCAGTTTCTTAGACTTGGCGATAGTAGCTTTATTTCTTAAAAACTGCTACTAATTAGTCACAAGAGGCAGAAAACAGAACCGACAAGTTCAAATGAAGGGGCTGGTGCTGCCAGAGTAAAGGGAAACTATGCCAGCGGCCGGGCGAACAGCTGTTGAGCCAGAGAGAGTCCAGTATCGGTGAGAAAGATGGCCCTAAAAATAAAGAGCAGGCCAACCAGACTTCTCCCCACCCCCCGCAGGAACACCACCTCAGGGGGCCGCAGGTATAGCTCAGGTATCGGTGCCTTGAGTGTGATTTCCGAAAAAACATCTCAGAAGAAAACAAGGGAGGGGCTCATGTTTCTTCCCCAGTCAGAGACTGGCCACTGGGTGTGAGTCCTCGTTCACACACACACACACACACACACACACACACGCGATTTGTTTGTAGACCAGGTTTTCAATAAGTCAGGGCAATGCAGAAGGAAACCCAATGGGCTTGAAAATTTGGGGGGGAAACAAATTCTTCCTCTAAAAAAAGTTTGGAGGGTGGGCAGAACACCCCGTTTCCATAAATTACAAAGATAAAGCCTAACGCTGAAGAAAAAAATTTGCAAATTGACAGGTCAGTGTAACATACAGCCTGAGCTTTGAGGGCAGGAGTCCCCTCTCCTTTGCTCGAGGGGTTAACCTCGGAGGGGAAGCCTCAGGGACACAGACAAGACTCCTCTGGTCGGTGAGGAGGCTGAGCTTCTTGTTTCCCCCAGGAGTACCTGAGAGGAGATGCTTTCAGTGCGTATTCCACCAAGGTGCCCTTTCGGAAAAGATTACCCAGACACTGATGCCAGTGTGAAAGCAGGGTTGATCTGGTTAAAACTGAGATGGGAGGGGGAGGAAACTTCTTCCTCGAACACCCCTTCTCCTCCTGCACTGGGCCAAACTGCTCCCCTGAACCCGGATACGCAGTCTGGATCCCCCAGACTGGATGAGCTCTGACACCTGTCTGGCTCTGGCATCTGGAGTTACTCTGCTCTCTTCTCTTCTGCCCCTTCCAGCACCCCAGCTTTTCCATGCTGGGGCAGAGACCTTGTATATGATCATGAAAATAAAGCTCAGAGCTGTAAGTAACAGCATCTCAAGCTGGCTGGACATTCCAGCCCGGAAAGTGCTACCTGCCATCCAGGCTAAACTACCAGTGGTTTTCACAGGCCACGGGCCATATGCCCACATTCCAGGCATTAAGGGATTTGGGGTGGGAGTGACAGATGGCGGCGACTTCTAGCACGATGGAGGGAGGTCTAAAGGTTATGGCTTCAACATAGTTCAACATTAACACTAGAGCCAAATAGCTCACTTCACTTGAAAGATGGTAAAGGGAGTATTCTCTACCGGGCCAATGGCTTTTCTTTCACTGGCCGTATTTCCTCCACCTGGTTTTTTGAAAGGGAGATTCATACACGCACATGCGTCCCGTCATGTAGGTAAGTCCTCCACACCACACGCCGCGCTCTCCTGGCTGGGAGGAACTCCCTGCTAGCTCAGGGAACACACATCTGTGAATTAAAGAGCTTGCTGAATCTGCTAGTGAAGAAACTCAGCTATGACGCCCAACCTTTGCAGGATGACCTACATAACATGTGTGCTTTCAGAAGGGCTCTTTCCACTGAGGCTGACTGAGCATCTGCCAAGCACCATGCTGGGCTCTCGGGATGAACAGCAAATGAGATTAAATAGATCCCTGCCCTCACGGGGCTCCCTTAGTAAGGGAAACAGAAAAGCAATTAGACAAAACTATGACAAACTGTGATAGACGACATAAAGAAATCAAAAGGCCAGGAAGTACAGGGTAGTTGGGGAATGGTTCTCTGGGCAGGTAATACTGAGGCTGAGACTTGAAGAATGAAGGACTGGCTGTGGGTAAAGCATGGCCAGCATTTTATAGAAGCAGCACCAGCCTGCGCAAAGGGCCTGAGGCAAGGAAGAATTTGGTAAGTTGGCAGGTGGTTGGAGCATAGTAGTGCTTAGCACTGAATGACACTGGAGAGGCCAAAGCCTCCATGTGCAGGGTTTTATGGGCCTTAGCAAGAGTCTAGATTTTCTTCTAAGGGCAGAAGGAAGCTAGTGGGAGTAGGGGAGCTTGTGAGGAGATGTGACCTAGTCCAAGTGAGAAATGATGGTGGCTTAAACTAAAGTGATGGCAGTAGAGATGAAGGGGAGGAATCTATGCATCATTTGAGTTTGTAGTGGAACAGCTGGCTCTCAAGAAAATGTGGTGATCCTCTAGAGGGTCAAGTCCAATGCCTCAGCCAGTGAACAGGTGGCCTTAGACTATATGACTGTACCTCCAGTCCCGGTGACCCCTCCCCTTCCCTTCACTAGATATTCAGTCACATGGGAGACCATTAGCTTCCATCAGTCCCTCCTGTCCTGTTTGTCCGTCAAACCCTTTCAGCCCTGAGCATCCAAATCCTACTTCTTCCTTTAAGCTCTGGCCAATTCTCCCTTTCTCCACAGAGCATCTTCTCCTCAGCCGGAAGTGGTCTCTGGAGTGAAACACCCACACGCTAATCTGAGTCTTGCCTTCCACTCTGTATACCTTATTCCTGTGTTGTCTGTCTGTCCACTAAAGCAGCATTGTTTTATTTACTTTTTTATTAAGGTCTCAGGTGTACTGAGCACTCAAATGATTGAGTTGCTCTTGGATTTATAGTCCTTTTAAATATTATTCTGGTTAATGGATAACGTAAGTTTTGTTTTGTTTTCCTATCAAGCATTCCCCAAGGAGAGAGAGATGGGTCTTTGTTTTTCTTAATTTTTTTGGGTGAAAGATGCTCTTCAGGCGGCTGAAGTGCTGGTGTTCCATTATCGTCCAGCACTCGGAATCCTACTCTGTTCTCAGCATGGTGGCAACCCTGCCATCTACTCACACAGCTGAGTACCTACCCCAGAATCCACTCTCCCAAGACCATTTCTTCACCCGGCGGGGGGGAAGGCGTGGCCTCCTTCCTGTCTCACTCACTTCCACTCACCGCAAAAAGGCCTGGGGCCCATCAGTCAGGCTGAACTTAACATGCTCTTGTCACC